CACACACACACACACACACACACACACACACACACACACACACACACACACACACACGCACGCAACAACATGCACAGAAAGACTGCAGGTTCTTCTTGACATTAAAATCAGATGGCAAAGCAGACGTAAAAATCTGCAAACTGGATGAAACTCAGTACTTTCCAAACAATAAAACGTGGGCCGAGGAGCTGCTGAAGGATAGAATAAATGAGACGGGGAAAATGTTGACAGCTTCGTCTGAAAGTTTACGAGGAAAAAGGTCCTCTTTGTTCACTGATTAATGTTGCTGAAAGAAAACGTGAAAGAAAAAAAAGGAGAAAGTAAAAACGAAAGAAAGAACCTATTGATCAGTTATACTTTTTAACAATTACTAAAAATAAACTAATTAAATAAAAACATTAACAAAATCCTACAAATCGATTATAAATTGGAACTTCTGTTGAAACAGCTTAAATAAATGAAGAGACAACACATTTATGTAATATAATTTCCTATCAAATTAAGAATGGATGGTAAATGAAGTGAGTTATATCAGTAAAACATTTACAGAGTCTCATTTTACAWGATTAACATTTGGTGTTGAAAACAGCTGAAAAGGTGTTTTAGTCATGAGGGCTTAATTATACTGTTTTACAAGACATCTAAGCAGTGTTATCTTACTTTTTAACCTTGTTAGCATATATTTTTTATATGCACATGAATGACCTGTTTTATTAAAAGGTCATTATTTTAAGGAAGTTGTGTCCTAACTTACTGTGGTGTACAAGCTTGTCCTTGTGGTGTAAAAATGACAATAACAAAAGATGMAGGAGGAAAAAAAGCATTTATGTGCTGCAAGAAATTGCAGCAATAAAAATCACAAAGCAGAAAAAATGCACAGCACTGTTATTTACCTAATAAATCTATAACAATAAAACTGTCAGATTACTTTGAACAGCTGACGAGAATCAGAACTAACACACCTCTCAAGTTTGTGCCTGAAGGACAAGCTGCAGCTTTATATATCCTAAGTGCCTTAGATCAGGAGCACCCAAAATAGTACTGAAAAGAATCCATGCCTGATCGTTAACATAATGCCTACATCTGTTTGGAGGCATGAGTCAGTGCCGACAAGAGGTTTTTCATTTACATCCTCATAAGCATGCACCTTTCGTTTGCACAACACGTTGGAAGTGTATTAGTGTGTGTGTGTGTGTGTGTGTGTGTGTGTGTGTGTGTGTGTGTGTGTAAAAGCAACACCTAGTCTAAATTAAATCCACCTGTTGTGTATTGCATTTTGAACAGCCTTACTGGAAAAAAAAAAAAAAGATTCTGCCTTAGAGGATTATAATATTTTTGTAGATTGGAGCCATTTTAAAGAGGGCATACTAGGGATGCAAGTTGATTGATTGTATCATCCAACTAACAATTAAATGATAAGCAGACATTTAAAAAAAAAAAAAAAAACTTGAGTTTTCTCG